AAAACAAACTATGGGGGGAGATAAAGTAAAAATATTGTTTTCCTTACATTATCAAGATGCTATCAGCCTAAAATAAATTCCTTATCACTATGTTTTATGTAAGCCTTACAGAAATCACAAAGCAAAAGGAACCAAAGCATATCACAGTCATATGTGATAAATCTACAAGTTAAATTACACTCAACAGTGGAAAGTTAAAAGCTGTCCTCTAAAATAGGAAACAAGAGAACTGCTCACTCTTTCCATTTCTATTCAACAAAGTAGTGGAAATCTAACCAGAGCATTAGGTAAGAGAAGGAAATCAAAAGCATCAAACTGAGGTGGGCACCTGTAATCCCAGCTACTTGGGGGGTTGAGGTAAGAGGATTGCAAGTTCAAGAACTGACTTATAAGAAATGCCAATGGGAACTTTTCAAGGTAAAATCAAAAGATTTTGAGACTATGTCTCAAAATAAAAAATAAAAAGGTCTTGGGATGCAGTTTAGTCGTAAAGCACCTCTAGGTTTAAACCCTAGTATAAGAAAAACAAAACAAATGTCACAACAATAACAACAACAACATCAAAAATACTCCCAGAAAAAAAATGAACAAAAAGAAACAAGACAACAAAACAAAACAACAAATAAGAAACCTCAAAATAAAGCAAAAAGCAACCAAATTGGAAAGCAAATAAACTGTTCCTGTTTGCAGATGACATGATTTTATATTTTCACCATCCTACAGACTCACCAAAAATCTGCTAGAATGGGTAAACAAACTCAACAAAGTTATAGGATACAATATCAACATGCAAACATCAGTAGATTTTCTGCACAAAATAAATTATTCAAAGAAGAATTTTTAAAATTCCATTTACAACATTTAAAAATAATTAAATTATTATAAATAAATTTAACTAAGGAGGCAAATGATTTATACACTGAAAATCATAAAACATTGCTGAAAGAAAATGAAGAAGATATTCCTGGATTGATATTTCTGCATTCAAAGAATTAATATTGCCAAAATGTCTAATTTTGTATAAAAATTAATAATCTGTATAAAAATTCCAATGATTTTTTTTATAGAAATAGAAAAGAATCCTAAAATTTATACAGAATCATTAAAGATCCTGAATTAACAAAGGAATCTTAAGCAAGTAGAATAAACCTGGGAGCATCACACTACCTGATTTTAAAATATACCACAAAAGTATAGTAATCAAAATAGCATGGTGCTGGGATAAAAACAGACATACAGACCAATCGCACAGAACAGAGAACCCAGAACTACGTACTTTTAGCTAACTTATTTTTGACAAAGATTCCCAGAATACACAATGGGAAAAAGTCTGTACAACAAATGGTGTTAGGAAAACTAGATATCCACAGGCAGAAGAATGACACTAGACTCTTATGTCACATCATTTAAAAATCAACTCAAAATGGATTGCATAGTTCAACATTCAATCTAGAACTATAAAACTAATATATGAAGAAATATGGAAAATGCTTCTTGATGACATTCTGGGCACTGATTCTGGATATGACCTAAAAAGGATAGGTATCAAAAGTAAAAATATATAGTTACAGCAACCAAAAAGCTTCTACACAGTAAAGGAAGCAGCACAGTAAAGAGTCAATCTACAGAATTGGAGAAAATACTTACAACCTGTGCATCTGATAGCGGGGCTGATACCTCAGACACATTAGGAACTCAAGAGGAAGGAAAAAAAATAACACATGGACTTCCAGGAAATTCTGTTCTTTGCAACTACATGGATGAATCAGGAAGGCCACTGAATTAAGTGAAATACACCAGGCACAGAATGAAAAGTACTTGGTGACCTCATTATCTATATGTGAAATGTAAAAGTTGAACTCAGAACAGAGAACAGAATGGTATGGTGGTTACTGGGGTTGGTGGGAACAGGAGTTGGGGAGATGTTGGTAAAGGATATAAAATAACATCTCAGAGTCTATTTTAAGTGTTTTCCATACAAAAAGTGATAAGTATATGAGTTGATGCATATGTTGATAAGTACAATTTAGCTGTTCCACAATGTATACGAATTTTAAAACACCATTTTTTTACCTGATTCACATATATAATCTTTGTCAATTTAAAAATTTTAATAATAAGTAATGAATAACTTGTCATAATTTAGGACAACTTCTTGTAAAATGAATGGATCTCTCTTGAGTCTACCTATTGGTCTATTTCATTTTAAGCTAATGAAATGAAACCCAAATTGCTGTCTCCAAATATGAGAACAAAATTGTGTTCATCCTTAGCTTGTTAACTGAAAAGCAGCAACTTGGAACAGAAGCCATCTTGAAATACAGTTATCTAACACATGAAAATTTGTACTAGCCTTTAATTCAAGATGCATGCCTCTAGGTAGAGATCAAATGAAATACTTATTATTTCATTAGACCAATTGCTTCAGTCTATAAGCTTCATTGTCAAATTTCAACTTTAATTTTTACAATCTGAAATGACATGGTTTTGAATACATCACTCTTAAATAAACATTTTTGGTTTAATGCCACTGTCCTCTACATATTAATTAGTAGGAAAATAAAAATTTATGCAATACAATTTATTATTCTACTTTTTAACTAATATGAACACCATTCATAAAATATGCTTCACTTTAATCAATTTCTATAATTTATTGCATCTTTCTTTTTTAAATATTTTTTTAGTTGTTGATTTTATTTTATTTATGTATTTATGTATGGTGCTAAGAAACAAACCCAGCGCCTCACACATGCCAGGCAACTGTGTGCTACCAGTCCCAGCCCTACTGCATCTTTCTTTACCCACATTAAATCTAAGACTAAATTCTATTTAAAACTACTCCTTTGCCAATTTCATTTATGGAAGACAACTTCCTATGGACATTTCTGAACATAACTCATTTTTCCTTCCAGGCACTGAAGACACTAAGGGCAGGAAGTTAATTGTTTGTGTGTTTATGTTTGTTTTGCTTATCGACTGACTCTGTCTTGGTGGCTTGAAAAAAGTAAAGACATCTGATCTGGGAATAAAGAGGAATTGGTTCACTGAGGGCAGAGAGGAACCACCTCTGCACTCATAGACTGCATCTACTCTACCAAAGTACAGCTTGGGATCGGTGCACCACGTGTGGGAACAATTTCTCATTTCTCTCAAACTTAGTCACCACCAGCCAGGACAGAGGGTAGAGCTCAATAGCAAATTTTTAAAGAGAAAGCAAAGTCTTTTCTACTTGTATGTTTTTAAAAATATGCACATTGATAAATTATAGCTATATGTGTTTTTAAGATACAAAATGATGATGCTGTGATTTTTTTTTGTTACAATGTGAAATAACCAAATTAAGCCAAGCAACCTATCCATCACCTCAAACATTTTACTGTATTGAGAACATTCAAGATCCAGCCTCCCAGTGACATTGAAATGTATAGTATTCAGCTCTTAGAAAAGACCTTACAAAAATCTGAGGCTTTGTACTCCTTGATTATTATCTCAGCATTCATTAGAATGTTAAAAATAATTATAGTTCAGCTGATGGCTGAGAACTGGGTAGCAACCACTGGTTCCTAAAACTCAACACTGCCTTTGAACTTTTTGGAATCTCACAGCCTTCTCTAACTGTATTCTGTTATTCCATGGCTGACAGTTGGAGCAGTTTCTTTCATCTGTTTTTCCAATTCCTTCTGGTTTCCTATACTATAGAATAAAAAACTACTAATATCATGAAAACACAGATATCCAGAAATGCCTAGGAAATACAGCCAGTTTGCTAGAGACTAGGAAAATAACTAGCAGCACTTCTATACCAGACTGCAACAGTAATGAGCATCTCCTAACACAGAATGTGAAGCAACCATCATTATTTTTTGTTTCTGTTTTAACTGGTTCAATCAGATTTCCATGTATGAGAACCAGGGCTAGAGTAACAAATCATGTGAAAGGACCAATAGTACAAGCTGTTTCTCCTCCAGGACTAGCTAGATTCTTTATTGAAATTTTGATGACAATGCAGAATCACCCCTTTAAGCTGAAATTTCCCTATCAATTCCATTTAGAAACTTACTACACACTTTCAGCAAAGAATTCAAATACCCTCCTCAAGAAACCCAATGTGCCCTCTGTGTGTGTGTGTATGTGTGTGTGTGTGTGTGTGTGTGTGTGTGTGGTGAAGGGGATGAAACCCAGGGCATTGCCCATCATGCTAGGCAACTGCTCTACCACTGAGCCACACCTGGAACCCTTAATCTTATCTTTAATGCCATGTGACCAGCATAGAGCTGTCAGTTAGGCTGCACCATCTAAACTTCACACATTTGTTTTTAACATGTATGGGAACACCCTGGAGAGCACTGGGATTCATAATGCTTTCTTTAAAATAATTTAAAATTTAACTTTTATTTCTATTTAATTCATGTTGAAAAAGGAAAAATAAAGAAACAAAGAATTTGATGCCTAATTAGTAAAGTACACTTTTATTTTGATGATTTTATGGAAAATAACTAGGGGCAGAAAAATGTCTGTGAGATATTTAGGCTGTGATTTTACAAGAGTGGCTGAGAGTAAGTGACACATCTCATTGCAACTCACAATTGTCTTCTTCTCTTAATCTTGTCTAGTTTTATCATTAAATAATTTCTTATTTGGCTTGTGAATTCTTCGCTGAAAGTGTGTATTAAGTTTCTAAATGTAACTTGTGAACTTAATATCTGCTTTGATTTTGGCTTTTTTGAGTTAGAAAATTACCAAGTTTTTAAGGGTTATGCCGATTGCCAAGTGAGGGGCGGTTAATGGGAGAGCTTTTCAAGGAAGACTGCAGCTCCTGGCAGGCAGCACTTAGGATTACAGGTGCACTCAGATAAGAATATGGTTTCTACCTTGATTAGCACTCACTGAAAATTACCAACATGACAAGAAGCCTCTTTCAGCTTGACAAAAGCTTCCTGCATTTGCAATTCCGTGGTTCTGAGCCATTTCTTGTGGGGAGACACTCTTTCACTTACCTAAAATCATCCCCAACACAAGAGATTTGACAGCATTGAATTCCATCCATGATGACAGAGTGGCTCTTCTCCTTGCATTCTGGTTAACCTATTAAACAGTCCACAAGAAGTAGACATGGAAATGTGAGCAATTTGGATGATAAGAGGATGGGAATCAAGGGCAGGCCAAGAAAAATGACAAAGATAAGTGATACGTTAGTGCTATCAGAAAGATGAAAGAAACCAACTTCAAACAATAGATTATCTAGAATGGAGAAACCCTTTCTTGAACAATTTCAGTAATACATTAAATTCCACTTGTCCTCACTGTCTCACCCTTTTCCCTTTATTTTTATTCATGGTATAAGTATCCATAAATGGTATAATCCGTAGGAAATGCAATAAGCTATTTTAAATCTCAAAGTTTAATTTACTCTGGTGCTTTTTCAAAAATAGATTCTTATTTTAAGCAAGATCTTGACCTTTTCCTTGTGTTTAAATTGCTGTAGCATTTATTCTTTTGTATAAAGTGGGAATGGGTTTGTCAACTTTCACTATCATATATTAGATATTTCTCTATCAAGTCAAGTAAAACATCTGAGGTCAGCTTTGCTTTTAAAACTGTTAGTACTTACTAACAATAGCTTTGATAATCTCATTGCTAAACAAAACACTTTGATTACATGTCTGTCCTAACAAGACTTAGAGAATAATAGTGCTAAATGGGTATTTCTGTTATTAAGATGTATTATCAAATTTTTGCTTTAACTCATACATTCTGAGAGCCACTATTTTAATTATTGATGCCATTGTTAGATTTATTATCTTACCTCTACAAAGACCACTGCAGCTTCTCTGTTAATCTTCACATTGTAAAGTTGCCCATCAGCCAGGTTTTTAAAATCAAAGTTAAAAACATCTGGCTCTCTGTGTCTGTCTAGCTTATACCTGATCTGCAAACTTCCTGAAGACAAAAAAAAAAGACAGTTTTAACTAAAACAAAACTTTACAAAAATTACCCACGCAGGTTCTAAATCACATTAAATTTTCTAAATATAATTTGAATCTATGGAGCATATTTTTGGGTGGAACAATATATACTTCTCCTGGAAAATTGATCATTTATGAGCTATTTTAGGGCCACATTCTAAATTTAGTTACTATTTTAAAAGTTAATATCAAATGGATTATAATGAACAGTCTCCTTTCCAACATCCTCAATTTTCCTTAACTAAATGAAAAAGTGTAAGTTGAGCATATGAAAACTCTGAACCAGGCTCTAAGTCAATTATTAATGTGATAGTCATATTATTAAATGGTAAAACCTCAAGCAATACTGCATTAATGTTCAGGTTCTTTAACTTCTTTTAATCTGAATTCACTGCAGTTTAATGTATTGTTGACATTTGCATAATTAATTTTTTTCCTTACACGATCAGGATTTTTCCCCCTAAAGTTTGTGCCATAACAAAGAAATAGAGAAAAATAGAAATATATTGTTTTTTGCAGTATCCAAATCTCTCATTCCACATACTGTACTTCTTCACAGATGGAGCTCAATAATTCTCTTAATACTTATAATTCTCATATGGTTTATGCATATCCATAGAAACCAGTTTAAGATTGTTTGTTCTCCAACTGTGTACTCCTGAAAAAGCCTTAGCAGGCTTCAGTTGGGTGGGTCACTCAACTTTTTCATATACGCATGACACTAGTGATTTCTCAACTACTAATAGATAAAGAACCATCATATTTATTGGATGCTTATGGATATTGTCTTTTCTATGGTTTAAATATTTCTTTATTTTTTTTCTTAGAGGGAACTAGAAATATTTTCCATGTATTAAACAAGATATTTCAAAGAGAACTACAAAATTCAATTATATATTTCATACATAGAAGCACAGGCCCCCAGGGAATCACAGGAAGCACAGTTTCACACCAAACCCATAAAATAATCAAACGTTTATGGGAGAAAGGCATCTTAATTGAATCGTTGAAATGTTAACTTTTGCTGTAAATATTTGGGGTTATAATGAAAAATAAAGCAACTGTAGTAAAGCCTGGTTTGTGGCTGGATCACCGAAAGGTCCTGTGGCTTTATGGTCACATTTTTCTTACTCAGTTTCTTATTTATTTATTTATTATTGGTTGTTCAAAACATTACAAAGCTCTTGAAATATCATATTTCATACATTTGATTCAAGTGGGTTGGTTCTCATACTCACCATTGGAGGCAAGGATAACTGAAAGGTACTCCTCATAGACAGAGCCTACAAACAGCAGCAGGCTGGGAGTCCCCGTGGTTCGGAAGCTCAAGCTGACTATTTCCCTGGTTAGTGTTAGCTCCTCATGAAATAAAGCTGCTAAGGAGCTGGAGTTCCCATTGAAGGTGTAATTGTGATGCTCTTTAAAACTGTAGATTATGGAGGAACCAGCTCCAAAATAGGCAGAAATCTCTGGACAAAATTTTTGTTTTGTTAGTAATACTTAAGTGCAATAATACTTGCTTTATGCACATTTTTAAAAAAACCTAATCCCTCACTATCCCAAGAGAGAAAATAATAATGGCATTTTTACTGTTTCATTTTACTTTTACAATTTTAAGGTTAAAAATGTATATATACTATTATTTATCTAATAAAATATTACACATACTCATTCTCCATTATTTTTATAACTTGATTTTGTAATGATAAATATTTCACTGTTGCCTTCAAAATGTTTCATCTTAGATTTACATAAAATTAAATCTCTAGTCTAAACATATAATTCAGAGGTTTTTCCTCTTCATGGGGCATTTCACTACGGCAATCCAGAAATGACTGCTACCAGAGCTAACAGAAGTAGCCAGTAATGGCTTCTCAAAACAGATTCCTATCTCTTCCTGAATTACACAGAGGACTTGGGACAGAAATTCTATTTCAAATCATCATAGAGTTGCTTTGTCCTTTCTTTGTAGCATCATATGCCAGAACATTCTTCATGTTGTACTTGAAGCCTCCTTCTTGGCCACTTACCATGTGAGCAGAATGGGCCCTCATAGGCAGAGGATGTACAGTCGCAAGCCACTCCTCTGTGCCGTTCTTGACATCTCCCCCCATTGTGACACAAGTGTCCATAGCTGCTGCAGTGTCCTGCACACCCTGCCTCCACTCCTGGAGTCACCTTGGCTCTTCCCTCCAGGTCCAGAGCCATCCCGTTCAACTGCAGAAACCGAATGCACCCCAGAAAGCCCCTCTGCCTGCTGGTCATTCCACCTGCAAGGGAAACACTGCAAATGGCAGCACAGTTCCTCCTGTACTATTGGCAAGTCAACACTCCACCTGAGGCCTTGTGGACAAGATCAAAAACCAGGACCCTTAAAAATGTTCTCTATGGAGATCCAAGATTGTGGGCTAGAGGAAGGCTGCATTCTGTGTTGCTCTGTGACCTGGATTCAAGTAGTGGGGAATACTGTTTTTCTGTGAGTTATTAGAGGACCCCCAACAGCTGCGCCAGAACATTAATGCACAGGTCCCTTGCTGCAAACCCACACAGGATCCTGGTTGTGGCTGCCTATGCGCAGGACCTCTGGTCACCATTCCTCTGTGCAATCCCATGAGGCTCCCCTGTCGCCTCCATCTTGGGACACTGTAACCACTGCCATAGTCCCTTACTTGCGATAGCCTGCACATGGGGACACCAAACAGGGTCTGAAGACAGCCACCAGCCACAACACTGTACACCACCGAGCTGCATCTCTGAACACGACACCCAATGCCACTGTCCAGCCCTTGGGACACCTTTATCACCATCTTTAGTTGGGGCAACTCCCAGCTTGGCAAACCGGCTGGGTCCTAGAAGCAATGTCAAAGTACCTATAGTCCCCAACTCCTTCCTCCCCTGCAGCCACTAATGGGGCACAGTGCTTGCGGCTATGTGGCAAGCTCGCAAGCCTGGCCCTGAACTGCCCAATACAAAACAGCTCTCTAGGACAGGTGCGCAGCCCCCATAGCACAGTCCATAAGATCTCTGGAGAGAGAGGTTCCTGATTGGGAAGTAGAAAGGGAGGGGGTGAGTGAGATACAGATTAGAGACTACATTAGAGACCAGGAATTGTGAGGGCTATGGTCTATAGGTGATATAAGGAGATAAGACCAGGCACCTACATCACATGAGTAGGCCCCAAAGGAGATACTTAAGATGCTGTCTCCCACTGGGGACATGCAACTACTATATGCCACTTCCAGGAGCTCCGTCCCCAAGACCAACCCTCCTACCCTAATAATCTTCATTAGCCTAAGGGTGGAGATACCAGCAAACAACAGACAATCCCAACTACTGGATGAGTAGGGAAGCAGGAAAGATACTGAACTCCAACAAAAACAATCCTTGTATTTTCCTTTGAGATTTTTTTCTTTTCTCTTTTTTCCCCTTTCTCTCTCTCTCTCTCTCTCTCTCTCTCTCTCTCTCTCTCTCTCTCTCTTCTCCCACCCCCACATCCCCAACCTTTGTGAAACCAAGTATTTTTCATGGATTAGGCTATTGAGGACTGGAATGTCTGTGTAGTATATGACAGTTGTGTTGCATATTCTTTTATCTCCTATTTCTACATTTTTATTTTTCTTAATTTTTATGGTTATTTGTTTTTTTATTCCATTGTCTTCTCACTTACTAGTCTCATCAAAATTACTTTCTCTCTTTTCTCCTGCTACTAGCCAACTAGATTCCTTTTTCAAGCTTCCTAAGATCTAATAAGTCTTTATATCCTTACCTCCTACCTCCTTAACATCTCATCCTATACCACACACCTGTTCTCTTTGTTCACCATCCGAAACTGTAGACCCTTTTGCAAACCTACTGTTTATATTGTAGATAATAATTAAACTCAACATTTCTGCATATTGTGACAAACCCACAAATGTCTTAATAGTGGTTATTTGGTTCAAGGTTGTATATTGTTTGTATTGGGATCTGTTAATATTGTTCTCCCCCTTAAAAGAGAGGTATTGGAACCCTGCAGGGACACTATATGCCTATAGGGTAAAAACTGTAACACCTTGGATCTGCAGTGCTACAAGGGAAGACATACAAACAACATGAGAAAACAAGGGAATGAAGTGCCCTAAACAAACCAAGATACTATATTACTAGAATCCATGGCCAGCACAGCAGAAGAAATGACAGAGAAGGAGTTCAGGATGTACATAATTAAAATGTTCTGTGCATTAAAGGATGATATAAGAGAGCAAATACAGGCAGCAAAATATAATTACAATAAAGAGTTACATAAGCCAATATAGGAAACAAAAGATTCCTTCAAAAAGGAGATGGAGGTTCTGAGGGGGCAAAAAAAACAACAGAAGTCCTTGAAATGAAGGAAAGAATAAACCAAATTAAAAACACAATGGAAAGCATCACCAACAGGTTAGATCATTTGGAAGACAAAACCTCAGACAATAAAGAGAAAACATATAATCTTGAAATAAAGTTGACCACAAAATGAAACCATAAGCAGAACATTCAAGAATTATGAGATAACATAAAAAGACCAAATTTAAGAATTATTGGGATAGAGGAAGGCATAGAGTTACAAACCAAAGAAATGAACAATCTATTCAATAAAACCAGAAAATTTTCCAAATATGAAGGATGAATTGGAAAATCAAATACAAGAGACTTATAGGACACCAAATGTACAAAATCATAACAGATCCACACCAAGGCACATTATAATGAAAACACCTAGCATACAGAATGGGAGAATTTTAAAAGCTATAAGAGAAAGGAATCAGATTACATATAGGGGGAAACCAATTAGGCTATCTGCAGATTTTCCAACCCAGATCCTGAAAACTAGAAGATCCTAGAAAAACATATGCCAAGCTCTGAAAGAAACCAAGAATATTATATCAGCAAAATTAAGCTTTAGATGTGATGACGAAACAAAAACCTTCTATGATAAACAAAATTTTAAAAAATTTACAACTAGAAAGCCTGCACTACAGAACATCCTCAGCAAGATATTTCATGAGAAGGAAACAAAATCAACAATGAAAATAAGCAATGGTAGGTTTTACACTAAAAGAAAAACCAATCAAAGGAAAAACCAAGTCAAGTTATATAGTAAAAATAAACAAAAGTGACTAGAAATATAAATCACGTCTCAATAATAAACCTGAATGTTAATGGCCTAAGCTCATCAATCAAAAGACAGACAGGCAGATTTGATTTAAAATAGACCCAACAATATGCTGCCTTCAAAAGACTCCTCTCTTAGGAAAAGACATCCACAGATGGAAGGTGAAAGATTGGGAAAAAGATATCCCTCACATGGACTGCAGTAAGAAACAGGGGTTTCCATCCTCATATCAAATAAAGTAAACTTCAAGCCAAAGTTAATCAAAAGGAATAAAGAACGATATTATATACTGCTTAAGGGAACCATACATTAACAAGACATAACAATTATAAATCTATATGCTGCAAACAATGGAACATCTATGTTCATCAAACAAACTCTTCTCAATTTCAAGAGTCAAATAGACCACAACACAATAATACTGGGTGAGTTTAACACACCTCTTTCACCATTGGACAGACCTTCCAAACAAAAGTTAAACAAAGAAACTATAGAACTCAATAATACAATCAATTAGACTTACCAGACATATATAGATATTTCATCCATCAATGAGTGAAATACACTTTCTTCTCAGCAACACATGGATCCTTCTCTAAAGTAGACCATATATTATGCCACAAAGTAACTCTTAGCAAATCCAAAAAACAGAGATACTACTCTATATTCTATCAGATCACAATGGAATAAAATTAGAAATCAATGATAAAATAAAAACTAGGAGCTACTCTAACACATGGAGAATAAATATGCTATTGAATGAACAATGGATTGCAGAAGGCATTAAAAAAGAGATTAAAAAGTTCTTAGAGGTAAATGAGAATACTGATACAACATACTGAAATATCTAGGACACTATGAAGGCAGTACTAAGAGGAAAGTTATTGCATGGAGTTCATTCCTTAAAAGAAAAAAAGTCAACAAACAAATGATTTAACATTACATCTCAAAACCCTAGAAAAAGAAACAAACCAAAAAAGTAGAAGCAGGAAATAATTAAAATCAGAGCTGAAATCAATGAAACTGAAACAAAAGAAACAATTAAAATATTTGACAAAACAAAAAGTTAGTTCTTTGAAAAAAATAAATAAAATTGATAAACCCTTAGCTGTGCTAATGAAGAGAAGGAGAGAGAAAACTCAAATATCTAACATCCATGATGAAAGAGGAAATATCACGATGGACACTACAGAAATACAGAAGATAATTAGTAATTCTTTTGAAAATTTGTACTTCAATAAAATAGAAAATATTGATGGCATCGACAAATTTCTAGAGTCATGTGATTTGCCCAAACTGAATCAGGATGATATATACAAGTTAAACAGATCAATTTCAAGCAATGAAATAGAAGATGCCATCATAAGCCTACCAACCAAGAGAAGCCCAGGACCAGATGGATACATAGCTAAGCTCTATAAGACCTTCAAAGAAGAACTAATACCAATACTCCTAAAATTATTCCATTAAAGAGAAAAAAAGGAAAAAAATTCCAAACTCATTCTATGAGGCCAATATTACTCTGATTCCAAAACCAGGCAAAGACACATCAAAGAAAGAAAACTTCAGACCATTATCTCTAATGAACATAGATGCAAAAATTCTCAATAAAAATTCTGGCAAATCTAATACAAAAACATATTAAAATGATAGTGTACCACAATCCAGTGGGGTTCACCCCAGGTTGGTTCAACATATAGAAATCAGTAAATGTAATTGGTCACATCAATAGACTTAAAGATAAGTACCATATGATCATCTCAATAGATGCAGAAAAAGCATTCTACAAATACAGCACCCCTTCATGTTCAAAACTAGAAAAACTAGGGATAATAGGAACCATATCTCAACATTATAAAAGCTGTCTATGCTAAGCCCAAGGCTAACATCATTCTAAATGGAGAAAAATTGAAAACATTCCCTCGAAAAACTGAAACAAGACAGGGATGCCCTCCATCACCACTTCTTTTTTTCCTAATTTCTTTGTTTTAATTAGTTATAAATGACAGTAGAATGCATTTATATACTTTGATATATCATACATAGATGGGATATAATTTCTCACTTTTCTGAGTGTACATGTTGCAGAATCAATGTTGGTCATGTAGTCACATATATACATACAGCAATAATGTC